TCAACTGCTCTTCGGAACAAAATATGTGCACGTTTGTGCATTTGCTTATACATTTTAATAAGAATTTAGATTTATGAATATCTTCTAATACACACAACAAATCACATTTAGTGGTCTCAGTGTTACCCAAGTTTAATTGTTCTGATTTTATCGCCAGCTATAAATAGTCTGATTATGCGAAATTTATGTACGTGTGTATGTGTGTGTTTAATTTCCCAATTAATTTAGGCGGCAAAACAATGGCAAATATTTTGGCTAGTTATTTTTAAACAACAACTGTCGAGATAACCAGAAGTATGTGTGAACATTTGTTATCCATGCGATGATATGATATAATATGCTTATACGTATTTAGCAACATATGCAACTAAAATGTTTCTGCATGATAGATGGCTTACACAAATGGCAAATCTAATTATATTTAGATTAAGGCCTAATAAATAACTATTAATTAAAACAAGCATTTCAGGGTAATTAATTTTAATTAATTTTTTTTTGAATGTTCTGGCACTTTTATCATGATATTTGTTGCTTGATCTTCAAGAGAAGATCTAAAGATTGAAAGTATTATATGTAAATATATATTTATTTACCTTTTTTTGTGCACATACTTTTATTATGATTTTTGGCAAAATCTTGACTTGACAAATTTTATAAAAGTTAGGAAATCCGTAAATCAGATTGATGCAAGATTTATAAAAATACTTTATTTGGGTTTGAACGAGGCATCGATAAATAAACTTTTTTGGGTGTTGCATGATAAAGGTCTTTATTGTATTTATACTAGTTAGATAATAAATAATAAAAAATGTTGTGTTTACCTTAAATTACTTAATATATATGACTAGCGGGTATAACCCGGCCTTGCCCGTGGCACGTATGTTATAAAATCAATGTTTTCAAAAGGCTTTGAAAATGATTTTGAAACTGATCGGACGGGAATCAAACAAACTTAAAATTCACCAAAAAAAACTTTGAAATCATTTTCCACCGAAGGAGTTTAGATTTTGCGAAAAATGTGAAACACGTCTCAAATGATTTTTCTTATAGATCTTTGGAAATAAATTTGAACACAAAACGTCATCCACCAAATCTTCTTGCACCAAGGAGGGATGGATTTTTCAAAAAGTGTGAAACACCCCTCAAATGTATTTGAATATAGATCTTTGAAAATGAGTTTGGGGCCGATCTGATGGTAAACAAAAAGCTTTCATACAACCGTTTTCCGCCAATTTACCACTGTTGCGGGTGGAATTTTCCAAATCGTCGAAATACGTATTCATTAAGTTCTTATTGAGAGCTTTGAAAATAAGCTTAAAGCAAATCGGACACAACTTAAAACTTCGCCCAAAAAATCTTTAAATCGCATTCCCCACGAAGAAATTTGAATTCTGCGAAAAGTGTGAAACACGTCTCAAATGATTTTTCTGATAGATCTCTGGAAATGAATTTGAGTGCGAAACGTCACCCACCAAATCTTTGACCTCCATTTCCACCAAGGAGGAATGGATTTTTCAAAAAGTGTGAAACACCCCTCAAATGAATTTGAACAAAGACCTTTGAGGCCGATCGGATGGCAAACAAAAAAGTTACATACAAACGTTTTTCGCGATTTTTCCACACTTGCTGGTGGAATTTCCCGAAACCCCGTCTTAACGTGCACCTACATCACATAAGGTAACTACAGTGAAAATTTCAGCTTCCTAGCTCTTACGGTTTGGGCTGTGCGTTGATCACCAATCAGTCAGTCAGTCAGTCAGTCAGTCAGTCAGTCAGTCAGTCAGGACAAACAGTTTTATATATAGAGATAAAGTCTTAAGTGGACACGTTATGTGTCTGACTCGAATTTGTATTATATTTTTTCTCTATAATAACTAAATAAATAAAATAGTGAGTATTTTCTTTTAATTATTTTCCTAAGTTTCTATTTGCTTTAATGCGGGGAACAAATATTTTGGCCTCTTTATTTTTCGGCATTTGTCTTATTTAAAAATCTTTTAATTGGACTTTGCGCCACAGACAGAAAATTGCGAGCGACGCCTGCAGTGGCACCTCCAGCAACGCGCCGCAGCTGGAGATGCACTTGTGGGCAGTGCAAATACCACCAAGTAAACACACACATGCTGAGCAGCATGCCTGCAAATGTTTTGGGCGCCACCAACGCCTGTCACATAAATCTCATAGCGAATTTAGTATCACATTTGCATTTGTGTGCGTGTGTGTGTTTGTGTGTGTGCGCCACTGCGCCAACCCCCTGAGCCGCTCAAGCACAAGATCGCTGGCATTGGCACCCCGTGGCATGCCATAAATTCGTCCTTTTATTTTTTGCAGCACCATTTGTCCTCGACCTTGTTAAATGGCACGCGTTGCGTTTTGGCATCGATTAGGAAACTAAACAACAATTTACCAAGTTCCAATTTTTTGCCTTGGATTCTATTTTTCGTTGCTGTGCGGGAGGCGGGTCCTTAAGGGGTGCAAATGAAACGCCTAAACATATCCAAGCGCGGCACGCAACTCGCTTGGTACGAAAGGTCCTTTCAGTTGCTCTTTAACCTTGCCGCTTGAACTTAACATTCCTTGGCAGCAACGCAGCCTTCAATGCAACCACCGTTTAGTACTACATATTTTTTGTAGTTGTTTAGCTGGCTTGCATTTTAATGGCCTTTATTGATTTTTAGTCTTTGTCCCACGCTGCCGGAGCATGTTGCAGGCCATCACGCCGAAACGCTGTGACCCCTGCGTACCCCTGGGGGCCATTACCTCACAAGCTGCTCGCCTAGTTGCCTGCCCGCCTGCCCGCTTGTTATGAGCAGTTCACATCAATTGGCGCGTGCTAATGGCTCCACACCATGGCACCATGGCACATCCACCTGGCCAGCTGCAGGGTGTGTTCTTCGCTTCTGCTGACATTTAACCTGGCGGCATCTTTAACCTCCTCCATTTCAGCAGCACCGCTCTCTGGTCGCAACATTTCACATTTTATTTCGAATAGCACGCAGCTGTCTGCTGCTCCTGGGAAAAATTCAGCTTCTAATTACAACACAGTTGAAAGCTGCACCACCTTTCAATTGAGCTAATGAATGTTTGTTGAGTTAATTTAAGAGTCGTTTTTCCACTTATCCACATTTAGAACAAACTACTTTGTAGACTAAAGAAGTATGCATTTAGAGGTACAATTAATTCCAATGGTTTGTGGTATTTCTATACTTATATCCCATATAAAACATAATAGGTCCTTAACTAATTCATGTGAAAACTTTATTGTCGTATGCCGGGAAAGCACAATAAAATATGTATTTTCAGCCTAATCTAAAATCAGATGGCATGGCTTTACTTGGCAACATAATAAATATGAATATAAACTTTTTGTTTATAACTTTTTTACTTCGCATGTCATGACAAAACATTGATAATCCGATATATTGTTATTGGCCATGTGGTAGGTTGGTCGACCTCATAAAGATATGAATGTGAATTGTAAAAAATACTTTAAATATGATCGAGAAAGAGATGGCTCACAATTTGATTTATATTTTTCAATATTTTTTAATTAATATTAAATTGTATTTTACCTTATGATTTATTGAGAATTGTATGCATGCTACATTTTATATTTCAGTATTATTATTTCTTTCACTGGATAAATGGGTCAAATAAATATATTTTAAATGTTCAATTTATTATTATTTTTATTTAATTTATTTTTGTTATTATTTTAATAATAATTATTATTACTTTTATTATTGTTATTATAATTATTTCTATTATTATTATTATTATTTTTATTATTTCTATTGAGTAGTATGATTCGTATACTCATTTTTAATATTATTATTACTATTAATATTATTCTTGCTTTTATTATTATTACTATAGATTTTATTTACAAACCCTCTAATCGAATACCTTAATGTTAAGTACAGGGTATATAGCAGCCTAATATTTTGTAAATCATTCTGCTTACCTTTCCTCGGTCGGATTTTTCTTTTTTTGGTGTGCCACATTTTCTTTATGCCTGGGTTGGGGCCTTTTTTTCGCATCCGGTGTGCACGCCTCCACGCTTATCAGCGCATTTTCAGTTCTTGTTCCCGAGCTGCTCAACGTGTCTCAGACTGTGACTAAGGCTAAGACTGGGTCTGGTTCTGTATGAGTCTCAGGACTTTGTATGTGCTCCTCCTTTGACTGGTTGTTGTTCTTTATGTTGTTGTTGTTCTTGTTTGTTTGCCAGTGTTTTGCATGTCATGCGCTTGTTTGTTTTGTGTTCCTTCCGTTTTCAATTTCTTGTTCGCTCGCTGACGTATTTTGTATTTTCTTGACATTTTTTTTATATTTTACTTTTATGCTTGCACATTATGTGCATATACTACATGTGACATTTTTTTTTCGTACCATGCTCTCTGTTCAAGCCACCATATACGAACTCCCAACCCATATGAGACCTGTTGGGGGCTACTGTTAGGCAAACCAGCTAGCTGACTGGCTGACTGGCTGGCTGGGACTTCTGTTGCTAGCCAAGTCTTGCAGCTATTTTATGTGTGCCAAGGCTTTGTCTTTTGTTTCTTCTTCCAATTACTTTTCACTAGCACAAGAAATTAATTTCTTAGTGATGTCCTTTGTTGCAGCTATTTGTCAAATTGCAGCAGCGGCCACTGCAACACATCTGGCTCGAATGTGGCTTTAAAATTCAAGAGCTAGACCCGTGCACCCCAACATTATGCTTGATTTAATGCCTTTGTTTATTTGTGGTACATTTGTTATGCCAAGGCTTAATTGAAATCTAATTTAATTTACGACCATAATACATACACGTTGAGCAATTCACAAAAGCTCAGTTACAATACAAATATTTGCTCACATTTACTTGATATATGTATAAATATATATATGTTATAAATTTGGTATTTTAATTGAAATGCCTAAGCGCGATGTCTACTGAAAGACCGAGAAGCCCAGTAAAGTTAGCACCAGTCACGCGGAAGTAATATGCAATCATTAAGTCATACGCATTAAATACATTAATTTATTGATTTTCCATATACGAGCAAATATGCTTAACATACACAAACAAGTTCACACATACACACACGCACACACTTAAGGGCCAGTCCAGCCCGTGCTCATCGTTGAACTTTCTTGTGAATGTCTTCGGTGACTTCCGCATTGTTTGCGCTGTGCCGGCCCAGATCCTATCAATAAAAGATATGCATGGGTGCTGCTTGCCTGGTGCCAGACAGGGGCCAGAACCCAGAGCAGAGTCCCATAACGCCACACAGCACAACAAATTCATAATAATTGAAACGACCATCATAAACAGAACTCACACTGAGTATCGCCTGCCCGCAGCAAATAGAAATGTATGCGTGATTTCCTCCTGAAAATAAATCACCAGCAGAAATAACGATATACTTGTAGTTAGGGTTTGCCCATCGTTGAAACACATATGTTGTACATTACGCAGTATAAAGTTTTATTCAAATATATGTGTCCCAATTGAATCATAATTTACATCAATAAATACGATATTGTAATTGAAATATATCTTAAATTATTAATACATTAAAACAAGAAATGTGCTGAAAATCAGCCTAGGGAAATTTTAGGTACTCTTTACGTTAGATGCAACTTTAATTAGGTATTACTATAAACTAATAAGTGCTCTTTAGTCCTCTTTAGTTGCCGTCAGTATTCGCACTCATTAGTTATAAGTAGCTCTTAGTCACTTGGACTCGTTTTGGTACTCGTACTCATTAGTTATGATTAGTACTCATGATATTTTTAAAAGCTAAAGAGCACTCGGTACCCATAGCTCATTTCCGTTGGTACTAATTTATTTCATTCCTCTCTAGTTTCTTTTAATCTCGACTATGTCTTCAGTAGTGTCGTATGTAAACACTGGTACTCGTTAATATATTTGAAAATTCATTTGTACTTGTTAGTTGAGAATACTTGGTGAAAACAGTCTAAGTTTTCAAATGCCTTACGACTACATTACTTAAAAACACTTTATATTTGCTAATACCTCCGCATACATATACTTAGAATATTGCCTTATTCATTCACTCGGTTTCTTTTAACTGTTGTTGTCACGTGGTCATCTCAAGTGGGCCAGCTGCTGCTATGGGTCAAGTCAAGTGATTCACGCAACCACAGGCATCATATTATGTCATCTGTGGAAAAGGACAACGGCCGGCCCCCTAATGGACCATTGACAATTATAAGGCTACTAAATCCTGTAGCCAGGATATGAAATGAGGAGGGCAAGAAAAACAAATACGAGATTGTCATGTGCACAAATCGGATACGGAAAGCATAGTTAAAGTTGTCTAGCTCCAACACGCACTTCGTTGGGTGGTTGTGCCTGTGTGTGTGTGTGTGGGTTGTGTGGGTGTGGGGGTGTGGCATATACCGACAGTTGGGGCTATCACGATTGCATATTATTCAATTAAAATCGCACTATTACCAGTATTAAACTCGTTGGGACAACTGTCAAACACACGCACACGCAATCAATGTCAACACACTGGCACACACGCCCGAGCATAAACACACACACACACACACACGAGTACATGCAGCTGAATCTGAGTGAATTTGCACATATGTATATTCACTGTGGCACACATTGAATGAATATGTATGTGGCTCGTCCTTGGCTAGGACATTAATACTTGGCAGCCGTAGCCATCGCCCTAGCCGTAGCTATTGTAAGACACACATAAATGTCAGCTACAAGATTTGATAGCTCCGGGTTAAGACTAAGCACTAAGCGTATGCGTGTTAAAGCTCTAGGCGAGGGGGCGTCTGTGTCTGTATGTTTATGTAGATAAGTGTAGAAGCAGTTAGTTGCCTGGCATCTGCTTGGCCTGTGCCCAACTCTGTCCCCTTGCAAAGCATGCTACAAAATGTGCTGGAGCTAAGCCAACGATGAAAATTGTTCCCAATTACGAAACTCGAAACTAAACTTTTATTATATACGTGGGTAAGGCCATTATTTTAAATAAGCATTCTTAACTTGAGTTTATGCATTTTCAATACTTTTAATTAAAAACAAAGTTGTGTCCACCGATGAAATGTTCGCTTGTTTGTCTGGCAGTATGTCTACCTGAGGGATATCAGAGACTCTACAAGATTTATTAAATTGGGTATGAAGGTTCTCAAACTTAATTCCGGTTACTATTAGGTGGCTCCCTAAAAAACTATAACAAATATTTCCATTATTTAATAAGTTCAGGAGTTTTTATAGATAATCTTAACATATTCTATTCTTAAAGGTTTTATTGTGGTTGTCTGAACATCTAACAAGTTTATCGAGAAATCCGATAAGAAACTAGAATTGGATGTGATTAAAAAACAGGTTAGTGTTTACATGTGCAAGGAAGAAAGAGCTATAACACACTAACACACAGGGTATTCGCAAGTCGGGCACTTGGCTAGATTTTTTTTAAAATAATTGTATTCTAGGGAGATCGGATAAAATTAAGAAAGTTCGGAAAAGTGATTCGAGAAAGGAAATATTTATAGTTCAGTATATAGACTTGTTTACAGGGTATTGTTATTGATGCAATGAAACTTGTTTTTTGGTGGGCAAAAATTGTTAAAGAAACCAAATCCCCACACTTCTCGTTCTGGCTTTTCAAGTTTAATAAGAATTCTAGATAAATAATATTTGCATACAGGGTATACCTTAGTCCTTTCATCTTGACTAAAACATTTTGGCTTGCTTAAAAATAAGTTGAACATAGTTTTCTCCCATTTGTGCAGCTCACAGTAGCAAGCAGCTTAATAGCGTCCTGTGGTCGGACGGCAGATACAAATTAGGCACTGTGCAACAAGAACACGAAACATTAATGCCACATAGTGTACTTTGAATACTGGTAGCTACCCCATGTTGCCAGAATTGGCAGCGCTTTAAGTGGTTCGCATGTGCTGGCAAGTTTGCTGCCCCGAAATGAACTTTTGCATAGAATGTGAAGCTGCCGCTTCTGCTGCAGCTGTGCCCCATTGCGGCTAAGTGGCGCCCAGCCAAGGTGTCAGCACTTGGCTCAGCTAGCCCCCAAACAGACTGCCTGCTGAGTACTGATATTCTATATAGGGCGCTTCATGCCCAAGCCAAGTTGGCCTTCGCTTCAAATTTTATGGCTCAAGCTGTTGGAAATTATGCCGGTTCGAGCGTTACCTGCTGCTGCTTAGTTTGTATCTGCTGCTTAGTTGTCATTTTCAGTATTTTTGTTTTTATTTGCGGCCTGAATGTCTGTGTCGCGTGTGTCCCGTAATCGATATTCCTGCGGCGCTCCTTGCCGGGCTGCGTGTCTCTTTACTGTTTATTAGCTACACATTGACCATCTACCGGCAAATTCAATATCTTTTACTTGCACAATTTTCCAGCTGCGCGCTGGCCACTGGACCTGCCTCCTGGTTGCCTTGGTGCTGGCTCCTTTTAAAATTACGTAATGTTTGTATTAATGCTTTTTCAATAGTTGTAGACTGTGTACCCAACTCCCTTGCCCCGTCCTGTCGCCCCTCTGGGCGGTGTGAAAAATCCAGCTTAACAGTACATTTACTCGAGAATTTATGTGTTTATAAAGAGAACGTGAGTGTGTGTGTGCGAATGTGATTGCGTGCTTGTGCTTGTGGCCGGCAAGCATCTAAATGCTTTACCATTGAGTGCTGAGTGCGTTACTGGAATGCGTAAAATGCGATTAGAACTTCCATATATTATTCAATTTGGTCACAAAACAACTGAAATTCGCTGGCATAACCCAAAAACACAGAGTTATGAACTGAAACGCTATGTTAACGTAATGTAAAAAATTCATGTTGAACATATGTATATTGCAAATTTCTTTGAAAGTTATCTTAAGGAAATTCCCTGACAAGATTTGAGTTAGTTACTTAAAAACTAAGCTCGTATGAGTAATATGCAGTATTTAATATAAATACAAGTGTGTGCATATCAAGATTATTAAATTAATATAATTTCAGAATTAAATAGAAAACCAAAAACCTCGTTAAATTTTATATGTTGAAGTTATGCTAATTAATATATGATTTCGTCAAAACTAAGAAATTGGGTAGAGCTAGTTAAATAAATGTAAGCATTATATATATTTTCCTTTCTTTTTAACAATACTTTTATCTTCAACCACATGCGACTTTTTTACATAAGCCAATATTAGTGAAAATTTAAAATGCCATATGTTTTAATTAGATTTAATGTTTTAATAGTCTTGTAGTATCTTTAACCTATTGATATACCTATTGAATATATCTCTGTAAATACACACAAAATATAAGTTCTCAAATATCTATTATCGGTATACATTTTCATGAAGCTGTGCAACATTTGTTAAATCGACTTTTATCTACTCGCATTCGTCTGTGCCATCATTTATTAAATATACGCGCTGCAATGTTAGCCCCCTCCTCCATAGGAACCATTTAATTTGCACTTTTTGTGCGCTAAACTCATTGATGTAGGGGGATGCCGGCTGTACGAAGGGGTTAGTGAGCACACACTCGAGTGTGGGTCATGCAATTTATGCGAAATCACGTATTCCATGACATAAAAAAAAACTATAAATAATGCAGCAGCCGAAATGCATTTGGGGTTGTCAGTGGGTGGCTGTGTGGGTGTGAGCTCGCGATTGTGTGCGTGCGTGTGTGTGGGAGTGTGTCAGTTAAGATGCATTGCACACGCTGTGAAAAGTAAAATACATATATAAAAATAAAAAATCCAATTTGATGTAGAGACTTGCACAGCTTTTTAAGCTGATGCAAAGACATTTCTTTGGTCATGTCCAGTTATCGAAGGGTGTGTGTGGCTGCTGGGTGTTTGAGTGTGTGGGTGTATAAATCTATTTTCTGAGGCTCAATGTCATTGACTGCTGTCACTCCAAGCACACTTCATATAGATACACACACCCACACACACACACCCATTTACACTTTGACCCATTACTAAGGCCTGTGATAATCTTTTTTATGCTTCGCTCCACCCCTAGCCGCAAGCCTCTGGCTCAGACTTACCAGTTACTCGTTGCTCGAGATTCAATAAAAGATATTTTTGAATTGCTGCCAACGTCAACGGCAACGGCTGTGGGCCACGAATATCTGTTTGATACTTCAATTTTATTTAACATTTTTGGCTGGCAGCTGAGCTGGGCTGAGTGGCACTTCGCTCCGTATTTATTAGGTTCATCAAATGCTGTCAGCAGTCAACATATGCGACTTTATTTGGGTCGTTCCCATAGCAACCAAGTGGCCCACGCCCATTAAGTGGCCCATAGTTATCCAAGCAGAACAGCAGATGATATCTACCATACTGTTGCTTTGACCTTAACACCAAATGCTTAATGCTAGTTCGGTTTTATGGATCTACAGTGCTAAAGATTTAATCTTGTCTAATCCTGTTCTAAATAATCGATTCTAATTGATTTTCATGCATTCAGTTTCCAAATTCAGTTTAATTTTTAATTACAAACAAACCAGAAAAAAATTCTTTTAATGAAATTCATGAAAACTTTTTGAAGACAGCTCAAGCGTTTGTCAAAAATTTAAATTGACATTACAAACTGATTATTAAATCTGAGAAAAAACGAGTTTAAATTAATATTTATCACATGTAAATTTAATAAACGAACGGAAAATTCAATGAATAAAATATTCAAATATTTAAAAGAGAATAATTTACTTATATCTTCATATTAGTTTTAATTTATCGGCTGGCATTTATTTTAGTTTTTACACGAAAGAAATTTACAATCGTAAAAAAAAATAATTCTGTTTCAATTTTATACCATAAAAAAATCCACTTCAATTTAATTTTTATATTATATTTTTTTGTGTCTTTTTTGCAGCCCGTTAAAACTGAACTCAACTCAAGCAGAAGGCCACTTCAGAACCTTGGGGTAAGTGTACGGTTTTTGGCAATGAATTATTTGATGCTCATATTTGATACTCGCATTTGAGAGATTTCTAAAAATTCAACTGTGCAGAAATTTGACTCTAGATTAGGCGATAAAAATGCGCATTAAGCTGTCTGGAAGAGATAACTTCATATGAATTTATTGACATTTGTGTCCTGACTGCTGGTCAGTTCTCTGGGGCTCCATTTGGGCTCCTCTTTCATATACATACATATCACTTATATATTTATACATTACTTTTTTGCTCTGGGCCAAGTGGGCGTGCAGTCAGGCATGAAAAGGCCACCATCCGCTGCGGCTAATGTGCTGTCATTTGTATGGTGAGGGTGGAGGGATTTGTGTTGACTGGATTTTGGTACCTTTGTGGCATGAAAAGAAAATACATAAATAAATGAGCTACGTGCTAGGGATTTGCAATCGATTGTCGGTATTTTCTTTTGTCATAATCAATCCTGCTCCAATGATTTATGCAAACAAATTTTGGTCTTTCAACGGGCCGAGCAATAGTCAAAAAGAAAAGAAAAAAGGAAACCGTGTTGAATTTTAATCAACGTCAGAGCGGCCTGAATTGCGCTTAAAACCCTGTGGTTGCGTAATATAAATTTGTTTATTCATTTGGTTTTATACCCTGGAAGTCGAAAAAGGGTTTCATGAAATTGTATATGTACATGTAACAGGCAGTGAAAAGCATTAAATGCATTAGGAATTATCCAGTCGATCTAGCTAGGTCCGTTAATATATCCTATGATATAATATATGTATATACAAATTGTCATTAAATTTTCTATACATTCATTTTCTTTTTATCATATGTCTATCAAGATTTTTAAAATTTTAATGTACATAATTATAATTTTTCAAAATTGACAAAGATAGATTGTAAAATTAAACACATATATGAAAACAGAGTAGCTTTCCGTACAGCATTCAGGACTAGAATACATATATTTTATTATTGTTTTGTTGCCTTTTTTGCCGCTGACTTTGCTGTGGTCAGACGTCGTTTTTTTGGTTAATTATTCAAACCGAAGCGAGTGCTGCCGGGTGCCCAGCGGTTGCGGTTACTGCAGCGCAAACAGAGGGTGGGCGGGCATGCAGGGTGCCAGGGTAAGCGACAGCATTTAAATGGCTTGCAGCATGTGGCACGACGCTTTCGTGTGACGTTTCATGAGCTCGGAAATTGCATAAAACCGAGTGAATGTGTAAAAAGTGTTGCTCGCTTTTCAGCGTCGAGCTGCCTTTCAACAGGTTCGTTGAGCCAAGAATTACGATTCAGGATTGCTATTTGGCTTGGCCAGTTCGAACTGCGACTGGGGCTTGTTTACTCTAGACCTTCATGCTAGGCCCTTTCTCTTTGTATGTGTGTGTGTGTGTGTGTTCATGTGTGTGGCGTATCCTGTAGCTGTTTACAAAGGTGTCTGTCATTCAGACGTTCACTGGTCAGGCGTCTGCAGCCCGCAATAGACAAGCTATACGCATCCTGTGACCACATCCTGTCGCCGGCAGCTCGCCTGTTTGCCTGCCGACCGGCGCCTGCTGCCTGCCGCCTGACTGTCAAACGTACTTTACAGCCTTAGCTTTAGAGCTCGTGCTTTGCGCCCACTGGCCCCTTTAGTGGGAGTTCCTGGGTTCCATTGTTCGCTCATGACGCGCCTCAGCATTCATATGACTGCTCATGCCCGGCTCTCAGCCAAGAGGCATTTTGACGCCAGGACGAAGCCGTGTCAGCCGTCCAAGCTGGCTAACGAAGCATAAACTAAGCGCTCCTTTAATGTTACTGCATGTGTCTGAGTATGGGTTTGTGTGTGTGTGTATGTGTTGAAGTGTGCCAGTTCACAAGAAATCAAGCGTAATGAAGCCCAGTAGCAGCACAAGCCGCACTTATTCAGCAAAATTGCAAAGCTGGCAAAAGTTCATGTTTATGCTCTCATTCTCAGCCTTTGGCTCCACCTCTACCTCTCCAGCTTGTTGTTGTTATTGTTATTGTGCTCATAGAACACTCGAGCGGATGATAATAGATACGCATGTACTGGTCGCTGGAACGTTACGCTTGGGCCGTCCACACTGTTTGAGACTTGCCGATTGGGTGCTTCAAAATGGGTAAATGAGCTTCGCTAAGTAATCCACTCGATGTCCAATTAGCGCCCTGAGAATCCCCCTTAAGCGCCTTTGTACAGTTTTATTAGCAAAGGCATTCAAGTACTGGCTTTAATAGATTTTTCGTTTCTAATTGATTTCTGAATTGACTGCTCAAGTGCCAAGAAAGGTTAAGGCAGGTCGCTGAAGCGTCAGGCGAATATCAAAGGATAAATGGGCAAAATTAGTTAAATAGGTGCGCCGATGAAAACCATTTTCAATAAGAAGTTTATTTGAAAGACCTTTTCAAATACTGCGCAATTGACCTTTAAAGAAGTGAGTTGATTTACTTGAATGAAGTGAATTAACGCAAATTTAATGCGGTTGTTTAATGCTAGGAAACTCGTAAATATCTTGTCCCAAGCTCGAGGTCACCCCTTATATAAAGATTCAGTCGGAAGAAAAGTTTACGGATGTGAGGAATGCAACAGACTCTAGTGATATATGAAGGGCGTACAGCCCTTATTAATATATATCTTTTCTACATCATTATTTATTATAACATGGGCTGAAAAATATTCTTATTCAGTTCAAATTTAATAAATAAAATGTAGTAGAATTTAATTCCAATTAGAAATATGCAATGAATATAAGTTATTTCATCTTTGTCCCGACAACATATGGTTTTGATCATATTAAATCTGTTAATAAAAATGAGTTTACCCCCATGTAAAAGTGAAAGTGAAATCGAGAAGCCCTCAAAAATGTGGGTCAAAAATTTAAAGGTGTCTTAGCGTCTCACTTACTAACAGGAGATCGCCGGTTCAAGTTTATTCAGAGCAGCTAAACAAAGTTTCGAAAAAATAATAAGAAAGAATGAAAGAAAGAACCAAATACCCTTATATTTTCGATACGAGGTATCACAAATATTTTGTGTTTATTATTACACAATTAAAAAATTAAAGCTTTAATATGAAAACTCACAATTTGCTCCACTTGGTGCTTCAATTGGCTATAATAGCTTCAGCTTGAATAATTGCTACAAAAATAATTTCTAGTTGCCGCTTTAGGCCTTTCCGCTGAGATTCTGTGCTGATGAGTCAGCTGTGCGAAGATTTTTTTATAAAATAATACCTAATACCAAAAGCTTTATATAAATATAAGAATACCACATGACTCTCAACATTTGGTATTTTTCACTCTAATATTAATGCTACTAACAATGTTTACATCTGCCTTGAATAAATTACACACGTGAGTCATTAAATAAAAGTACCACAGGGCGTATGCGTATCATTATTATTATTATTGTTATGTGCATTATTGCGGCAGAGCATTAACAACAAAAACAACAACAACAACGACAACAAAAACAAAGACAACAACAGGAATAACGACAACAAAAATAATAGCATTTAAAATCAACGTCTAATTGCCATAAAATAATAAAAACAACAACAATTTGAAGCGCCTGCACGAAGAACTTTACCTTTAGGAACAACAGAGCCAGAACAAGAAGAAGAAAGGAAAACAAAAGAAACAAAGAGCAGATACAACAGTAAAATATAAGACAAAACACAAAATGGCTGCAGGAAATGATGTGACGTGACGCGCGGCTTTTGTTTATGTTGGCTGCTGCTGCTTCTTCTTTTTCAACTGCTGCTGCCCTTTGCTGTCCGCAATAACGACAACCACAATAACAACAATATGAACAGCCCTAATAGCAATAACAACATAACTTTTACAACAAATATCAACAAAGGTAGCCAGGTGGAAGAGGGGCGGATGGGAGGATCGCCGCAGACACAGCGTCAGTGAAATTGTCTTCGTTTATTATTATTCCATAAACAACAGAACTTGCCACGACTCAACTCGATTCGCTGCGCCTCGTTTCAACCTTTGCCATTTGTCTCTGCTTTAAGTTGTTTTATAGTGCGTTTTATAAACTGCACCCATTCCAAATAGATAATGGGGTATAATAGTTTTGTGCAAATGTATGCAATAGACAGAAGTAAGCATCTCCTACGCCTTTACGTGCATATATTTGGATCAGCATGACGAGCTGAGTCGATCTGTCCTTCCGTCTGTCCGTGTGAATGATTGCGAGGATCTCATTAACTATGCTAACTAGAGATAAAATATTGAAAATATATATTATTCTACACAATAAGCAGAAATAGTTAATACGTTTTCTTTTTCAAAATCTCCTCCCATTTTCATACAAATCGGAATCTAGAATATTTAAAGAGCTGTATTAAATAACTTCTTATGAAGATTCTCGTTTATTACATAGTATATTTAACTTCTTTGATATCTCACCATTTCTCCAAAATGAAAAATCCTATTATAAAAAGTAGATCCTCGCACTTTGAACCAAAAACACACCTTGTTTCACATATACTTCGAATTTTTATAAGTATAGTGTGTCTGAGTATATATGTATGTATATATTGGACAGAAAAAGTTTGAATATTACTAAAGGCAGGTCAGTTCTGGGCTAAGGGTATCTCCTAGTCGGACACTCCCGACTAGAGCACTCTTACTAGATGCTTATGAAGTCTTACAACGTGGTGCTTCTGGCACGTTCTCAAATTGTTGCCTACAGCCTCCGATTCCGCTTGCTGTCTATACAGAGTTTCTCCTGTGACTGACTGCTTATTAAAACTGAGCTCGAGGCAGTTTAGTAAAGTGTAGCCTTCTATAGAAACCCACATATATATGCAAATTCAGGTAGAACGTAACTTGCGATAGAAGCGAATAACAATAACTATAATCGTAAATTTCAAACTACATAAAATCACAGCTCAGGTACAAATTTATTTTTAAGCTTTTATTATAATAATATGCTATACGGTCCATTATAGTATGTAATAGTATGTTAACATTCGAGTTGCATTAAAGATATC